ACACACACACACACACACACACACACACACACACACACACACACACACACCCCTTCCTTCTACCTTCCAGACAGAAAGCCTTTTCTCTATGTTTCCTTGATGAACTCAACTGAGAGGGAGCTTGGGTTCAAGGCTTGCAGTCTGTGGATCTATCCTCTGAAAGTGAATTTATTTTGTGTTCTTTGATTCCATTTGATCCATGTTTAGATACACTAAGATGCTTTTGGTCGTTCATTCTGGCTGTTGGCTGTGGGTGTAATCTTTTTGTTTCCATACTGTTCTGCATGAATTGCTTTCATAATCAGTAAAAAAATGTTTAGAGTGTGAATTTAACTGAAAACTTGATAAAGCTAAGGCGCAGGAAAAGCAAGTGCCATCTGTGGTGGGGGTACTGCATTAAGTATTTTGAAAAAGCAGAGCTAAGTAAGACATTGTCCCTGGCCTCTTTCAACATGACAGGTGCCTTGGGAACATCCAGGAGAGGAAATGGTGTGGAAGTGACCTTGTGCTCTTCTCTGCCTTTGTTTCCCCTTCTGTGCTCCAGATACCGCTGGCTGCCCAGCAGGAGAGGCGGAGTGTCAGGATTCGGTGTACCCCCTGCTAGCATGAGACGGGCTGCCGATCAGGATGGAGGCAGGAGACACAACTGGGGCCAGGGCTTTCGGCTTGGAGACCAGTGAGGAGCAGCCTCTGGCCTGCCTGCCAGGCGCGCCACGCCGTCGGCCATGGTTCCTCCCAGTGCTGGGTTGCCTAGCGACCGAGTCCTCCTGACACTCTTGGACCTGACCCACACTGAATGTAGTCTTTCAGTATGAGACAAAAATCCTTTTAAGTCCTGAAGGAAAATACAAGTGTTCCTCAAGTTTCATGATTCTCATTCAAGTCCTTACTGCTATGAAGAACAAATATCAATCATCCAAATTTCAAAACTGACTCTTTTTTTGGTGTTTCCTCCTCTTCCCTTTCCATCTGAATAATGGGTTTTTAGCAATTCCTCATCTGCTGTCACCCAGCTGGGCATCTGGGCTTGGGTTACCAAAGCCTGTTGACGGAGTCTTCCCTCTTCCTGTACACATGCCTCCTTCCTTTTCCCAGCTTCCAGAGATACGCCTAGGGGGAGGTGCCCATCAAATAGTTCTGTCTTTGACAAACTCATATTTATTGACTTGCCAAAGCTTGCTCACAGAGAACATACACAGTTGCTTTCCTGTTTAGTGGCAGAACGGTAGCAGGGGAGAAGACTGAAGCACTTGTGTCTACCTGACTGCGGTTGCTACCATTTGCCACCTCGTCAGATGTTTTTATAAAAAGAAGCACCATTTTGTTAGTGAGTGCCTGGTCAGTCATTGATGAGATCCAAGGGTTGTTGTTAGCCTTTTTTTTTTCCCCTCCCTGAATGATGGAAACTAGTAGAGTTGCTTTTGAAGCAGAGGTTAGGTTGAAACCGGGTGGACATGACCCGTCAGTGCTTCCTGGGCAGAGCACACTGGCTTGTGTACCCAGAGGAATTGTATTGTATTTGGAGATAACTGAGATCACATTGGCCCCAGAGAGAGGCTTCTGGCATGGATTCGCGCTCACTCCCGTTCATGGATGTGTGTTCACTTTTGTAGGTGGAGGGAAGAACCTCAGGCCTGATTGAAATTGATTTTTCCCTTACGCCCACCCTTTACCCTTTTTTTTTTGTCAAGCATTAATTGTGAGGGAAGTACAGTTCTTTTATATGTGGCTGAGTTTTTAAAGCTAATCTCAGCACATCTGAATGAATCACACATAATTGGGGGTTGTAATGGCTTTAGAATCATTTGCGTCTAAAGGTCTCTTCTAATTTTGAGTCACGAATGTACATGCTTTGCAAATCGGACCAGCTTGAATACCTACAACTCCCTTTTCATAGATGGACTCTTTCCATCAGAACTCAGCTCATCACCAAATAAGATTATCTGAAGGCTACAGTGTTTCATACAGTTACTTTATGCTCCATCTGAAAGCAGACTGCTGGGAGCAGTTGGGAGTGGCTATCATACTTGAGTAGGTCGTGAACATTTTGGTCATTTCTTTTTCAGGAATTGTGCTCTAACAGTATGACTGGCCTTTCCCCTTTATTAAACTGTGATGTGTGTTACTCTGGGAAATGGGAGTTTGGAAAGAGCTTCTCACCTTTAATAAAGTTTGTGTGAACCTCTTCATATTTAATTTGTATGGCAAAATAGGAGGTGAGGATTGTCTGAACCTAAATTGTCATGTTCCCCTATTGACCTGTGGCTTTAATAAAATGTACTTATAAAATTCTAGAAGCCATACTTCCTGTTACATTGCATGTATACTCAAACTGCATGGTGGAAAGTCCTGCGTGGAGAGGATTCTAATGGTAAGTGCTTTTATTAATTTGACTGCCTGAGAGCAGGGTTTTTTTCTCCCTTCCACTCCCCTCATTGGTACAACTTGTACTTTAAAGTGGTTAACTTGGTAGGACGTTGGTGGCTCATACCAGTAACCCTTGCTACTCACTCCTCAGGAGGCTGAAATCTGAGGATCACAATTCAGAACCAGCCCAGGCAGGAATGTCCATAGGACTCTTATCTCTAGTTAACCATCAAAAAAGCCAGAAATGGAGCTGTGGCTCAATGGTAGAGCACTAGCCTTGAGCAAAAAAGGTCAGGGACAGCACCCCAGCCCTGAGTTCAAGCCCCATGACCAGCACCAAAAAAAAAAAAGGAAAGAAAAAGTATAACTTGAAGGTAGTTAAGTGTCTGTACCTCTGCTCTACTGGCCCTTTTCTGAACATTTATATAATCAATTTTTGCTGGTAAAGGAATGTAGCAGACTTGCATAGCTGGGAAAAGGCTGTAGGATTTCTGGGTTTCAGTTGAATGACTTAGGGTGCTTTTGAATTTTGGGGTAGGAGTTATCTGACGATAGTATGCTGCTCTATAGCTTTGCTAGACCTCCCCCGGCACCCCATAGTTCTGCGTTTTGAAATTTTATAGAATTAGTGTACTTATTTGTCATGTCGGAGCCAGACTATTCCTGAGCTGCTTTTGTCTTGAGCACGAACCTTCTGAGTCTGTATCCCAAGACAGGACAATGAAAAGAAGCAGGGCTCTGTCTCCTTTTTCTTCCTGTTTATTGGGGAAAAATTGGGACAATAGGAGGAAAGATCTTGCACATTGCCACTGTCTTGGGCTAAGCTGCCTTTTCAACACTATCCAATAACAGGCAGTGTTGCAGTTGCCAATATCTTTGCTCATTGCAGGCTGCTGGTTGAAGTCTTCCTCTTTCACATTTTTAGTAGTAGCAACACTGAGTCACAGACTTTAGCCCTTGGGAAATACTACTCTTCCTGGAGTTTCACTGTTACTGCTTCAGAGGCTGGGCTGAGCGAATGTGTTTGCAAGGCAGTTTCCTCAATTGCTTTCTAGTAGTGGCTCTGGAAGGCTGGGATTGGAGTTGGGAGTGGTACCATATCTGTGGTTCCTTTATGTGTGTGATTTAAGTTCAGGGGAATTCATCCTTTCAGTTCTGTTCTTCCTGTTGGGATGTTAATACTCTGTTTTGTAAGGATTGATTTAGGTTTCTGTGGCTATCCCAGTCTGTACAGGAGAAGCAGTTGTTCTTTTTTTTTTTTGACAGGGCTGTGTAAGCTAGTCCAGTTAGCCTTGAAATCCCAATTCTCCTGCCTGAACCGCCTGAGTGCTTTGATTACATGCAAACTACCACCACACTCAACTCACCTGGGGACTTTGAAAAAATGAAAATATCTTGTGTCATCCTCAGTAACTTTAAAGGTCCTAGTGATTCTGATACTTCACTGGATTTGGGAACTCATGTCTAAGGCAACTTGTATTATTTTTCAGAGAAAGGATTGTAGAGCTCACTGAGATTGTTACTTAAGCAGCCAGACAGTACTGAAGGTAGGCCTTTACTGTCTCTTCAGCTGAAAAGGCAGCGAGCGATGCTAGCAGAACATGGTCTGCCCTCGGGGGGTGCACTCTCTATTGAGGCCGTCCTATTGGCTCACTGTAGGCACCGTCCCTGTGTGTTGAGTAAGTGAACACAACGTTCATATAATTCAGTAAACTCACAAATGTTAAAAGCTTGCTTTGGACATAGGAGCTTGATCCTGACAGATTGGTGGACAAATCCAGGCTGAGATGGAGAAATCCATCCATTCTAGGTGGAGGAAAGGCAAGAATGGCAACAAGAACAGGTTTGAGGCATTGAGGGCTGGCTGGCTGGCCTGAATACAGGCAGGGAGTAGAACAAATAGACTAGGGAGGCATTGGGCCTTAGTTTTGACAAACTGGTTGCTGAGCTTGTATCTAAAAAGTAGCCACCTAGAGTGGAAGGGCTGGGTGAGGAGCGGCTGAAGATGAGACAAGTGAGTTCTGTGTTGATTACTGTGGTGTGGGTTTACAGTAAGGGCGGCCTGCCCCAAAGCACTGGGGCCTGAGGCTGGGTTGGAGGAAGGGAGGGAGAGACCTCTAACCTTGATGGGAAAATACGTGAACAAATGAATGGGCTTCCATTGGACATCCAGGCGCAGTGTGCTGTACTCATATTAAGCCAGGCAAATCCTATTTATGGGTATTGTTGGTGCAGAACATACAGCTAATTCGCTGGTAGAGTAGCCTAAGAAATGAGCCACTGTCTGTAAGTATGTGTCTGTGGAAAAATTATTTATGAACTTCAAATCTGTCAGTTTGAAATTGAACTTTTAGAGCATAATCTTTTACTGAAACAGGAGAGTTATACAGAAGGCCCTAAAGAAGGACAGTCCATTCTCCTGATGGAGTATACCATCCCTCAGATTCTAGCTTATACATGTTTCACCAAGGAGAGCCCCTTTCACTGTGCCCTGATCTCAGTCTCCCCTGTGGTCTGTAATCATCAAGACTGACACCATATTCTTCACAGGCTTTATTTTTTTTAAATTTGTGCCTATCTTAGGGTTTGAACTCAAGGCCTGGGTTCTGTCTGAGCTTTTTTCCTCAGAACTAGCACCCTATCACTTGAGACACAGCTTCACTTTTTTTTTTGGTTGGTCGTGGGGCTTGAACTTGGGGTCTGGGCATTGTTCCTGAGCTCTTCAGCTCAGGGTGAATGCTCTACCGCTTGAGCCACAGCGCCACTTCTGGTTTTCTAGTGGTTTATTGGAGATAAGAATCTCATGGACTTTCCTTGCCTGGGCTGCCTTTGAACCGTGATCCTCAGATCTCAGCCTCCTGAGTAGCTAGGATTACAGGCATGTGTCACCGGTGCCTGGCCTTATGGATTTTTGAGGTGGTTAATTGGACAGCAGAGTCTTAACGGACTTTTCTTGTTTGGTCAAATCTTGGTCTTCAGATGTCAGCCTCCTAAGTTGCTAGGATAATAGGCATGAGCTACTAATGCCCACAGGCTCTTAAATGTGTGTGCATACATACACACACAGATGTATGTAGTTTTCTTGGTTTTGTACTGAATTGAAATTTAGACTGGGTAATAAGTTGGATAGGAATTTGGAGTTCTTAGAGAGCTAATGGCCTGGTCTCTTAGGAGTATTAAAGGACTTGCTTGTTCATGTAAGGGAATCATACTCACTTTAAACAGGATATTAAAAGAGATTAGAGATAATGGGAAGAATGGGCTCAAAATTAAAATACTTTTTGAAAGAAGGCAGCAAAACAGCCTTTGTCTATGATGTTAGTATTTGCTAATGAGTATACTCAGACCAGTTGGGGCAAAAAGAGATTTGGTACATAGACTGAAGATAGGCAAGAGCATGGGCAAGGAGATTAATTGGAGGAATAAATTTAGCTTTGTCTCCCCTGATTATTTCCCCTGTGATCTGTACAGATGTTCTTGTGTTTAGAAGGAAAAGTCTGCCATGTTGTGGATCCTCAGAGACCCTCAGAGAAGTATAGAACTGAATTTAGACACAAGGTGTAAGGATTGTTGCATCAATGCTTTTTGAGCTTAGGTTGTTAATTGAAGGCTTCACCTGACACAGGTGAATCTGATGTCTACTGTCGGTGGGCCTTTTCCTGAGGGCTGTACTGATAGGTGAGTGTCCTTGTTAACTAGGGACAATCAGTGTTAGCTGTGGGAGACTTTGGATCTTGATTGTAGCTGTCTTGTTATATAAGTAGTATACCGAGCTGTAAGGATATAAGATCTGACCGTATGTACTTCCAGTCAGGTCCTCATCATTTGTGTTTCTCATCTAAAGGTACCCAGACCCAGATTGGGACTTCTCATAATCATATTCATTGGGCAGGGTACTTTGCTTGAAAAAATCTAAGTTAAACAAAAAGGGAGTTTGTTGGAAGGATGAGGAATAGACCACTGATGTTAAAAAATCTGAGAATTCTCACATGGGAAATGGTCCAGGGAAAAAGCATTAGTCTCATCACATCTCTTGGGCTAAACTCTCCACTATTGATTTGGTCCCATATTCTCTTTATAGGATTCAACTCACAAGTCTCATTGACCCAGCTTGGGCCATGTGTTTCTTTGGTGGCTGGGAATTCAGAGGAAGACATTTGATTGATGGTCATTTTCCAAAAGCAGATCAAAGTGCTCTGGCCATAAGGAAGTGAATGCTGGATATGTAGTTAGTTCCAGTTGTGCATGTGAGCTGTGTTTAACCTTCTTGAAGAAGTCTGGCTTGGCTTCATTCTAGCTTGGGGAACAAGATAGTATTTCCATCCATCCCCTCCCTTGAGCCTATCTACTCAGCATTAGCAAGCACTGTACGTTTTTGCTGAAGATTAGGAGGCAGGTGAAATGTGTAGAAGGGTTGACCCTGAACGTCAGGATAACTGGCAGTCTGCACTTGAAGGTAGGCGCTGTGTCTGTCTCACCATCACATTCCCAACACCTTTTGAATGAATGAGTGTATTTGAATGAATATATCCCATAGCCTACATTTTCTTCATCAACTGCCTCACTTTTGGTTGATTTAACTTTGGCCCCAAACCTCTATACTTAATAAAACAAACGCCTTATAGACCTGCCCACTGTTATTCACCAGATGCAATACAAGACTAGGTTGGGGAAGCAAGTGAATTCTGCTATAAAAGTTAAGATTATGATGTCCATTTTCACTAATATTCTACTGTAACCCCTGTAGTGAGTTAAATGGGGGAAGTATACTGAAAACATACATACATACCCTAATTCCTAGAACCTAAGAGTGATCTTATTTGAAGAAACAGGTCTATTAATTACAGATGGAATTAACTGTGTCGAGGAGGTCATCCTGCATTGTCTGAGTGGCTCTGAATTTAATGGTAAGAGTCCCAATAAGGGA